GAGACTATATTTGGAGCCAGGGACTTTAGGGAAATAATTAAAGTTAAATGAGGTTATAAGGGTGGGGCCCTAATCCCACAGGACTGGTATCCTTAGAAGAGGAAGAGACCCCAGACCTTGCTCGCTCTCTGTCTCTGTCTCTCTCTCTCTCTCTCTCTCTCCCTCCCTTTCTCCCTCCCTCTCCTCTTCCCATGCGCACAATAAGTCCATATGAGGACGCGGCAAGAAGGCTCCATCTACAGCCCAGGAAGACAGATCTCACCAGAAACCAGCCCTGACATCACCTTAATTTCGGACCTCTAGACTCTAGAACTATGAGAAATAAATCTCTCTGGTTAAACCTGAAGAAAAGAATGAAGAAATGAAATGAGACGTTATAATCAAGCTGCCAAATTACCAAAATCAGGTAGGTTGAGGTACGCGGAACTGATTCTCTTCTTTTTTTGTTAAGTAACCTGGGAACTTAAAAACGCCTGCGCTTTCCAGTCCTGCATCCATTCATTCCTGGACATATATGAGACCTCCAGATGACCTCTGAATACTCCCTAAAGGGCTAAGGAAAGAAAGTTCAGTTATCACGACCATCTGACATCCATTCTCCAGACCACCTGACACCCAGTGCCCAGAACACTGGTCATCGGCGGGGATGACCATCTGGGACCAATTCAGAAGCTCAGTGTGGAGGACCGATTCTCCTCAAGAACACGCTTTTTACTATAAGAACTCTTAGCTTTTCTTTCTTCATCAGAGCACTCTGGGTATTGCCTAGTTGTGTTTGCGATTTGCAAACCCTAAGACCCTTGAAAAAAGTCTTTATCATTTATTTCTAGCCAAAGCCTCCAGATTCTATGAGTTTGTTCGACAAGCCACCCAGTCTGTGGCAGTTTTTTATGGTGGCTGTAGCAGAATAAAGCATGAGGGTACCATGTCCCAAGAAGCCCTCAAACCTCTCTCTTCAAAATTTACCCATCCTCAGCCCCCATTCCTTCAGGACCCTTTCTGAGTAGCAATGTGGAGTCAGGGGTTGCTACAGACATTTCCCCAAGTTCAAGATATTCCTTAAAATGCAAGCTTGGGGAATGGTACATGGGATAGCTCCGTGAATAGCACACACACAGGCTGGAGATGTCCTTCCGTATCTTGGTTAGCCCCATCCTTCCCAAGTAGTTTCCCCTGGAATACATTCTAGGCTATTGTCCTAGTTTCCTGAGGCTTCTGTAACAAATTATGACAAACATAGTGGCTTAAAACAACCCATGTTTATTTTCTTACAGTTCTGGAGGTCAGAAGTCCAAAATAGGTCTCAGAGGGCCAACATCGAGAAGCTGACAGGGCTTTCTTCTGGCGTTCCTTGGCCCACGGCCTCCTATCACGTTGCCTGCTCTCCTGTTTCCATGGTCACATTGCTTCCTTCTGACTCTGATCTCCCACCTCTCTCTTATAAGGACTCTTGTGGTACACTTAGGACCCGCCCGGCTAATCCGTGATAATCCCCCAATTTTAAGATCCTTAATTTAGCTACATCTGCAAAGTCCCTTTTATCATATAAGGTAGCATTCACAGGTTTCGTGTATTAGGACATGGCTATCTCGAGGGCGGGGGCTATTATCCATCCTGCCACAGGTATATAATAATGATTTCCATCCTACAGAATATAGTTTAGGAATCTCTACATTATGAGATAAAGGATTCTTGCTGATGTCGCATGGCACAATAGAAACAAAGCAAAGCCTACAGAGAAGGGACCTAGCTACCCCCTGGTCAGTGCCTCTCCTTATTAGCTGTGTGCCTTTGGGCTGATTACCTAACCACCTTCAGTTTCCATCTTCTCGCTGACTCAGTGGGGTTGCTAGTACCCACCTTCCAGGGCCTTATGAGCACAAAGTGGGCACTCAATGCCTGGCAGTGACTGTGTTTCTCTCTAGATTGAGGGGGCGCTGAGGATCCCCACTGTAGCATTGTTGTAAGCACTCAAAGAGAAAATGGGCCATCAACAGACCTTAAAGTCATGGAGAAGGAAAGGGAACCATCTCAGAGGTTGTAGAGGGACCTTGTTTGCTGAGCATCAAGAGCACTTCCCCCTGGGAAATGCCTGACCCGCTGTCTCCTCTGTCAACTCCACACCCCACTCTCCAGCCTCCTGGATCTTGGCTACACACAGGGCACCCCAACATTCGGAAGCCCGGGCATGGGCACCTAGGGAATGAAACAAGGGTTGGGCCAGCACCAGCTTCTGGGAAATACTCTTCAAAGTGTGGGGCTGAGTTCAGGAGCTCCACTTCCAAGGAAGAAAAGGAAATCGAGCTAAGCCCACAGAAATCTTACAGCCCTTTTCTAAGCAAAGAGCACTGGCCTTGAAGTCGGCTCCACTCGGTCACTGCATTGCTGTAGGGCTCTGAAAAATCCCTTCATCCTTCTGAGCCTCAGTTCAGCTGCTGGAGCAATAACGGGGGTTGGCACAGTGATCCCTGCATCTCAGTCATCGTGAGACTCTCTGGACTCCTCTAATTTCCACCAGGATCTGGCTGGGGGGTCTGTGAGCACAGTAAGCACCTAGGCCTGTGGGACGCTCGCGTTCAGACACCACTCCCCAGATCTACAGCAAGCTGGCTGCAGGAAACACAGGAATCAGCCTGGCCAAAGGGTGGGCGGCCTGGGGGTGTCCTTTTCCCTGTGTCTGGGATGCTGGCAGCTAGGTGTCTCTTTCCCTGTGTTCGGGATGCTGGCAGCCGGTTGCCTGTCTAGCCTCTTCTCCCAGGAGTTCCTGTGCCACTGCAGGTGAACGGTGTCTGAAGCCACCACCTTAAATACCACCTTCAGCTAAAGACAGAAGAAAATGTTGGGGTTGAGGGGAGTCAGTGATAGCACAGTGACAGGAAAATGCAGTAAACAAAGGTCAGGTTGTTCTGCAGATTTCTGCCCAGGTCTCCACCAGGCCTGGTACCTTACAAATGTGAATGTCCTTTTACAGTAAAAGGGGAACTTCTAAGTGGGGTTCAGAGCTCCTCCCCAGTCAGCTGTGCCTTAAAATTAGACAGCCTAGAATAATCAACATCCCCAAAGAGGCATGTTTTAGGGTGGCCAACTCTGCTCCCCTTCAGGGGCTTGCAGGGCAGTGGGTGGGTGGCCCTGGTCAGAGCTCAGGTGGCTTTGCCAGAAGCCCAACTGTTGGCTGGAAGCCGACTACAACAGGACAGGGCAGGGCTGGCCGGGGGCGGGGCCAGGGAGGGGTGGAGTCAGGTCCCAGCTGTGGTCAGTGGCAAACGCTGGCTCCACTCCAGCCAGCCGTCTGCTCTTTCCAGAGCCCCACGGACAGCCGCTTCCACTGCGTGCACTCTGGGCCACGGGACAGAGTAAGTACAAGCTCTGCAGACCCAGGGCTTGCGGGCGTGAGGAGGGCTGGGAAATGGACTCTGGAGTTATGGGGTTTGGAGGGCTTAAAAGCTTTGGAGGTGTCCCAGAGTGAGCCGGAAAGACTCCCCGCCGAGCTGGGGAAAGAGCCAGCCTCTGGACAGCAGAGGTGACCTTGGGCACAGCACCAAACCTAGCTGAGCCTCAGTTTCCTCATAGAGAAGATGCAACTCACTGCATCTCTGCAAGGTGTGACTGTGACAATTAAGTAAGGTGATGGTTCTCATCCAGGTGTGATTTTATCCGCACGGCACATCTGGCCGAGGCTGGAAACATTTTTAGTTGTCACAACTGGAGGGGAGGCAGCTATTGGCATCCCGTGAGTAGAGACCAGGGAAGTTGCTACAATGCACAGGACGGTCCCCCTGCCACCCCCACGACAGAGAATGATTCAGCTCCAAATGGCATCAGTGCTGAGGTTGAGGAACCTTCATGCAGCGGGGACAAATGACTGGTACATAGGAGGTGCTCCATAAACCAGCGCTTGCGTTGTTTCCTGTGCTTGGAATCTCTAACCATTAGAAATCAAGAAAAATGATCAACTATAACCTGTTTCTCTGAGATACGGCCGCCCTGTCTGGGGGCTGCCACCCAGTGTGGTCCAGCTCCAGAAGTTTCCTGGCCGTTTGTTCAGTAAACAAACGGAGATATAAAATGAGTGGAATTTTTAGCTCTTCAAAGGATGGGGCCCTTGGCAAGAAATGCAACAATGAAGGGAAACTGCTCCCTGGGCCAATATCCTTCACAGGTCAAGACTAGGCAGGGTGGAAGCTTTGGGAGGTGCGGATGTGTTTATGGCAATGATGGTGGTGATGATGTCACGGGTGTATACTTATCTCCAAACTCATCAAGTTGTATACATTAAATCCTACTTTAATGAAGTGATTTTTTTAAAAAAAGAAGAGGGGAAACTGAAGTTGAGCAGCAGCAGGGGGAGCTTTTCAAGGTCACCTGTCAAGCCAGCTCCAGGGCCAACAGAGCTGAGCTCTGGAGGCCCGGCCTGGCTGTGTTTCTAACCACTAGGTGTTCAGGATGTGGCCTGACACCTCTGAATTACAGAGGACGAGACAGGGGTTCATTCATTCATTCATTCATTCATTCATGCATTTATGCATTCACTCACTCATTCATTCCACGAAGGTACCTGAGCACCACCCCTTGACTGCAGGGAGGAGCACAGGTGAGGGTCCTTTCTGTTGTGGACACCTGTTCTAGTGGGTGAGAGAAGTTGGAACGAAGGAGGCCAACAGCAAATGCATAAGTAACTGCACTTACATAACTGACTGAAAGATGAGAGAAACAATGAAGGGTCCAGTAGAGAGAGAGGGCCAAGCCTGAAGAGGGTGTCATGGGGACAACATTTCAGCATTAGCCTGAGGCCTGCGGAGACGCTGGCCCTGGTGAGAAAGGTGAAGAGAGGGTTCCAGCAGAGAGCAGCACGTGCAAGGGCCCGGGGCTGGGATGCGGCTTGCTGTGTTGGAGGCAATGAAAAAAGAAGTGTGCCCAGAGGACACACACAACTGAGGGCAGAGCTTGAGTGTTCTGCTCTCTTTTCTATGACATGTGGGGGCATTTCTGCAGAAACACTGGCTTCAGGGTCCCAGGAGAGAGTCAGCCAAGCCAGGCTCTGCTTGAAACTGGAGGCCAACTGAGTCCGGGGCTCATGCTGCCTGCGCCGCTCGGCCAATAGACCAACACAGGAGTTGGGTCACAGAATAAGCGTTTATTGTCAGAGCACCCATGATCTGAGAAGACAGCAGGTTAACACCTCCAAAAACTGCCTTAACGTTCTCAGACTCGCTTAGGGCATTGAAGGGAAAATCTAGGCAATCCTCCATAAGCTATGTGAGAGTTCTAGGGATCTGCATGGAGCCGTCCCTCTGGCAATGTGATTCTCTGGAGTCAGCAACTCAGGAACAATGATGGGATTATCCTGGAAAGAATGCTAGACCACAGAGGTTGTGATCAATAAACCTAAGGGTATTAATGATCAGTTTCAGGGTAATTTCTAAAACAGGGAATTGGGTGGGACAGGGGACAATCGGAGCTCGAGCTGCAGGGGGATGATCTATTGTTAAGCTACAGGTAGGTCAAGAAAAGGTGAGGCTGGGGATTCGGCGAGGCCTCTACTATGGGGATGCCAACCAGGCCCTGCTTTGTGCTGGCACTCTATTGGTGATCCCCTGAATACCAGGCTCCCAGGGCCTGGAGCAGACTCACCCCTGACTCAAAATTGGCACAAAACTCTGTCAAAGCTGCGTGTTTCCACCAGAGGTCCAGAAGTGTAATGGTAAAGCCTGGGCTTTGAAACCAGGAAACCTGAAAGGAGTACCCCGAGGCCTCCACATTCTCAGAAGTGACCTCTCTGACCTTCTGTTTCCTCCTCTGTACAATTCTGATGATGATGCCAACTCTGTGTTGCTGTGGAGGACTGTAAATGAGCTAATACAGGTGAACAGCTTGGGAGACACCCAGAGACATGCACCAGTAGCTACTGGACAGGAAGAACGAGGTATCACTCATTCCCCAGGGCCATGAAGGCAGCCAAGAAGCAGTGCGTACGCCAACTCGAGAAATCTGGATTTTAATCCAGTGTCATCACTCACTGGCTGGGACAAGCAATTCCATTTTGCTGAGCCTCAGTTTGTTTATCTGTAAAATGAGGTTAATAATGCTTACTTTTGGTGATGATTAAATGTACAATATTTATAGTGTCTTAATATGAATGTCCTTAATAAAGAATGGCTCTAATAAAAGATAGAAAGAGAGAGTGGGCCCAAATGGAGCAAGATTTCTGGGTCCTAAACCTACAGCCCAGGGGAGCCTGAGTGAAGCCAGAGCCCTCTCCAAGGAGACCTGCTCTGCGTGGAGACCCAGCGGGCACTTGGTGGGTACAGTGGTAAGGAGGAGGGTTCCTGGCTAAAACATGTGACAGATCTCCAGTTCATGAAAAGTCTGAGGCCCAGAGAGGGGAAGGGCTTGGTCCTGAGTCACCAGGTGGGAGGGTGGAAGGGTGGGAAGGTGGGAGGCAGAACGCTCAATCCTGCTCCCTCTCAGCTGCCTCTGGGCTCCATCCAAACAGGAAACTGTCTGCGTCTGTAGCTTTTCTTTGAAAGCCTTTCTTTGAGGGTAAGTTTCAGCTCAGTGTTAATCAGCAGGGGTGGGAGGTGTTGAGCTGAATTGTTTCTTCTGCAGCATCCTGCTACACTGATGGTTCTAACTCTTGGCAGGAAGGACCGGATTGTGCTGCATAAGAGCAGTTCAAAGGATCCAGATTAAACCACCCACCCTGCCCCTTGAAGGCCTCCTGGAAGACAACTTTTGGGAACAGAAAGGGAGTGTCAGCATGGGAAGGCCAGACAATGTTTCCTAATTATCTGCAGATTAGGCACCTGGAACACAAAATTCGGAGGCTGTGACACAGGAACGGAGGACCAGAGCTCTGGGGAAGCCAAGTAGTGCAACGGCTTAGAGCGTGGGCCTTGAAAGTCATAACTGGGTCTTGGCCACCACTAGTGAGTGACTCCAGCTCCCTGACTCCACCCGTCTGTAAAATGGGGCTTGTAGTGGAATCTACACCCATTGGTGGGTGTGAGGCTGAAGGAGTTGACGCATGTGAGGACCGCGCAGCACCTAGCGGTGGGTGTCGGCCGTGCGCCTGGGCCTCTCACGGGCACAGTGATTGCTGAGGCTGCTCGGTTTGGTTCTGGGTAGCCGGAGGTCGTGCAGGCAGCACATTCTAAACGTGCCTCCTCTGGGAGCTCAGGTGCGATTTGGAGGTCAGGGGCAGTGCGTGTGACCTGTTCGAGTCACTCAGTTTCGCTCAAAGATGGAACTGCGCCGCAGTTCTTCCTGCCTCCCGAGCTCATTGGTAATCCTCTGCCCTCCGGAAGGACAAGGGTAGCCTCACAGGGTCCTGGAGCAGCCCCTGGTGGAAGGAGAAGGGGGCTGACGGGCATCCATGTGTACACCGGTGACTCTCAGGAGCCTGGCGCCCTGCCTGCCACATAGGAGATGCTCAACGTGTATTTGCTGAATGAACAAGGACAAATCCAGAAATGCTGTGGGCCCTGTGAGGGGTATTTGGTCTGAATTCGTAGAAGGACCAGGATGCAGATGTTGCACCCAGGGCTGAAGTACGGGTTAGAGGTCACATATGCAAGCAGGCTGCTGGTTTTCCAAAACCCTCAGCAATGCTGACCAGGCAGGACACGGGGAACACTCCGTCCCCACACCCCCCACCCCTGTAATGAGTATCTTGATGGGAAAGAGAGGGGAGGCTTCTTGCCCTGGTGGTTAGAATCCACTTCGGCTCCACACCCCTCTGCCTACTTCCTCTCCCTGCCATCAGATGTCCACGTCCCCAAGTCTCTGTTCTCAAGGCCTTACTGGCCCCTCAAACCTGTGCTCCCAGCCTCACAGGTCCGTCCTTCCCCTTTGGTGCTGCGCCTTCTCTTTGCTGGTGATAGCTCTCTGGGGTGTCAGTCTTGCACACTTCTACCCTCTCTCTCCTCTGAGAAGCCCCACTGGCTGCACACCCCTCTGAGGACATCTTCCTCCTCTCCCTTCCAGAACCAGGGGCAGCCACCATGCAGCTCTGCCTCCTCTTGTGCCTGGTGCTCCTCAACCCGCAGGTCGTCAGCCTCCGCCGACACCACTCCCAGGCGACAAAGAAGAGAGTCAGAGAGCTGCCCGTCGTCACCACGGTGGCCCCTGGTCACAGGGACTTTACCTTCGACCTCTTCAGGGCCTTGGTAGAAG